AGGAAAACACTTTATTCCGAGTAATAACAACACTCGAGTCACAACACCAGTTCTTTACTTGGGTTCTCGTTAAATGTTTACAATGCCTTCAGCGTGTTGAAAATGAACCGAAAATATGCTACTCTTTTGTAATGAATTCCATTGAGCATGAATGTAACTGCCTCTGCTCTTTGTCAACATCCAAAATATTTTCATATTGTGGCGGTCATGAATGGCGGACCTCCCATGTTCAGAGGTTTAACGTTTGTACAACCTCGTGCCGCTCGGTGTAATGTCCCTCAAGCTGTCGGCGTTCTCAGTCGCCAACGATACAGGGGATTTGAGATGAATGGGACGTTTTGCAAGAACACGAAAAGATATTTGCCATCTTCACATTTCCCAAAGCTCTTTTATTGTGACTGTCGTTGTGGTTTTCTCAGATCTTATTTTTTGTCGTCTTGTACTCACAGCGTGATATCGCGTGCTTGGTTGTGAAAATACAGACAGAGGTAACCGAATGGCGTTATTGTCGGAGTTGTACAAAATTTTGCTGACATGGTGAAATTAACTTAAGTCGTCTGTGGTCTGGTGTGACGAGTGATTGCTGGGCATGCGAGTTGAACTATTTCAAAATATGTTTGTCCCCAAACATGCACATTTCTGTTGTTTGTAGTTAGAGAGGGAACTGATAATTGCATGTTGTGACAACTTGTAACAATAATAATATTTATAATTTATTTATTCATAATTTGCTTAAAGTCACAGTGATTTCAAAGAAGCGGAACCTCGTTTATCCAGACAGAGTTATACAGAGGGACAAATATTCTAAACGGTTAAAGGTTGTAGGGAACTAGTTTTTCTTTATATTTCATTAATTTGAAGGTCAGTAAACAGTGAACTGAGGTATTTGCGATGCTATAATATATTCATATATTTTGTACGCAGTTTCTGTGCCCATATGACTGAAGTACTGTCGATTTGACAATAAATAAAAACACACGTGCATACCCACACACAAACAATATATGCATATAAAAACAACAAAGATAAAAAAAAAATTAAACAAAATAAACAAACAAAAAACCAATAACAAACCCGGCAGACTTGTATTTTAAACGTTGAAAACATAAAATAAAACTAACACAAGCCTCCTAAGAGAAACATTTTGTTATTTACACATTATTGTGAGTTTTCACTTCTCCTGCACTATTTAAATATACAGTATATAGGTTCGTATCTTGCATGATGTGTTTTTTTATCAAAGGGATTCCAACGCTTTATTTCTTCTTATGTTGCACTTATATATAGGTATTTTCTTGAAAAAAATGAGGTGACCAAAATATGTTTAAACGTTGCTAGGCTGAAATGTCGTTTTCAGATGATCATTATTATGATGCGTGTAATATCGTCTTTGAAACAAACAGGTGTAATAAATTACCATCAATAAAGCTGTTCTTGCTTGTGCTACTTTTGCATACTATGCTTTTGATTAACCCAACACCCCTGCCCACCCTCCGCAGTTTTATTTAAATAAGATTCATTTCAATTAATAATAGGTGCGATGAAGTTGGTATCGTATTAACAAGCTTAAAATAATTAAGATAAAGCATAACGGTAATCTGTGAAAATTAATCTAACTACAAAATGATACAAAATATTTACGTAAACATGGACAAACATGGAGATCGATTCTCTTCGTGTCAGGATAAAATGTGGGTTTAGGCAGTAAAATACATAAACTGGGCAGAAAAAAACTACTTTCTTTGTCATCGAAGGTGTTGATTAATCCTTTACAATACGCTAAAAGAGCTCTTCTCCAATCATTTTGCGCCTGTCATCTGTACCGAGAAGAAGGCATGTGTGCACGAGGCATCGTACTCTCGTCACCATCATCATCAACGTTATCACCGACAACTGGCTGCCTCATCAGATGGCTCCTGGAAAGCGCCTTGACGATGTGACGGGCTCAACACTGTGGGTGGGAAGTAGATGGTACTGGAAACATTAGCCTCGTGTTGAACTTAAAACGTTGTAATGTAACCGTACGACAAAATGTCAAGAAAATGCCTCTTTTATAAGACTTCCTTCACATACAATAGATCAAGGACACATTATGTTTCAGTAATGTGTGAAATTCGTATGATCTTGTACTGCAACCTTATTGTTAAACTAGTTCGGTTCCTATTGGATGAAGAATAAGAATTATTCAATCGTGTTTCGCTTGATGTACATTAAAATGCCATATAGTCACAATTGCTTGGTGAAGTAAATATCTTCTCAAGTAAAACATCACCATTAATTATGAATGAGCTGCCTGGCAAAAGTAAGTGCACAATTTAAAATTTGGATTTGACAAAACACAAACTTTATTAAAACTTCACAGGGCTGACAACAGTCGCCGATATGCTGCGAACGCAATTTTCATATCCTTATCAAATGAACAAGCAAATGAACAATATCTTGTTTGTTCATATTTCACCTTAACACATGGTGCAAACTTTCTTTTTCGAAGGGAGAATAAAATCCATGGATTTTCGGAATATTTTTTAGAAAAATAAATTTCCAATCCCACCAAATTTTCGTTGAACACAGTGAAACCTTTTTGAGCATATTTTTAGGATGTAGTTTTTCTAGTATGCTGCCGTTCAGTTTGGTATATATGGAGGAACAATCAACTTTTCCCAATTATCGTTTAGGGGGATACAGACATTGGGTCGTTTACCGTTAGAAGGGGCACGGAAGGAAACCTGATATCTTTGTAGTTGGTCTTTATGGGATTCCCAGTCGGACGAAGAACTCGACCCAAACATGTTTTGACTGAAGGTTGGATGAATGCGAATGCCTCGTGTTGGTCTAACACTCCTGAAGGTAAAACAGGTTGCATGTCTGATGGCTTTTTGTCTAATATTCCTATAAGTGAAGCGTTTATTCGTGAGTCTGTTACAAATATAAATTCTTTACGGAACATTTGAATTTACACCTGATAATATGAATAATGGTTATACATATTAGACATGTATTATACATTATTATGTGTTTTGTGTTTGTTTATATATTCTATTCTATATATTAACAAACACATTTTATCCAGGAGATAATATTTATTAGTAAATACACATGGAGATGAGAGTATTTTCAGTAAACAATTATGTCATTATTTGTCATTAGACTCATAAAGAGAGAAATACATTGCCTCACAGTTATTATCGGTATGTATGGAATTTAAAATGTCAGTTAGGATTATGAGTGAGTGAGTGAGTGAGTTTGGTTTTACGACTCTTTTAGCAATATTTCAGCAATATCACGGCGGGGGACACCAGAAATGAGCTTCACACAATGTACCCATGTGGGGATTCGAACCCGGGTCTTCGGCGTGACGAGCCAACGCTTTAACCACTAGGCTACCCCACCGCCCCCAGTTAGGATTATGAATAAGCCGGCAAACACATAGCATTAGAAATCACTATAATCGTTTTAATTTTGATTTACGGCACAAAAGTAGTCAAGAGGAAATAGCATTTACAAGGAAAGCGGGAAGGTCGCGGGTTCTATAACCTGCCAACTCGCACCAAAGTGTGGTAAAAGATGGCACTTACTGTTACCCTGGCAGGTAGTCGGAGACAAAAGAGAACCCCGCATACTTATGACATTAGAAATAATTTTAATCATTTTAATTTTGATTCACGCTACACATGTAGTCGAGAGGAAAAGTGTTTACAAGGAAAGCTGAAGGCTGCTAGTTCTATCCCCTGCCAACTCGCACCAAAGTGCGGTAAAAGATGGCACTCATTGTTACCATGGCTGGTACTCGAAGACAAAACAAAGGACGGCTGAATCTCAGTAGGCCTACATAGTGTCTGGGAGGTGTATCCAAGTTTCAAGGTCATACGGTATATAAAACCGACCATCCAGACTTGTATACACACACCCATATGTATCTTTAGACTAAGGCTTAGTCTCTGAATATATATAATTTTGATAGTAACAAACAAGCCCATTTATATTGAAAAGGAACCCTAGGGAGACCAGAGATTCAGAACCTGAGGAAACTAGACTTGCTTTATTTAGGGCTTTAGCACTGCAGAGAGGGCTTAGCAGTAGCGAAATTAATGTGGTTCAGGGACTGTGAGACAGACTAATGTATCTTTGAACGCTGCTTTAACACATCCGCACACGCGGGCACACACACACGGGCGCAAACGCACACTCGCGCGCGCGCACACATACACACACACGCACATGATATTACGTAAATGTGTGCAAATGAACATTTGATGATGTTTAATTGGCATTCATCTTGTACATAAACCTGATAATCACTCACCTCGACCAAGTCTATATTGTCTAAAATATATTTCACAGTATCTACAAGTGCAACTGATCTTGATAAAAATCATACTTGTATTGTACCATAAACCACATTCCAATAAACGCTCTGTCCACATGCAAGGTACTTTCATTGAAATATCTCATTTGAATTCCGATAAAATACAATACAATTATGATGAAACTTATGGATCTGCCACGAGGGCTCGACAAGCTATGATCAATGCCTGCCCGTACTCAAAAACAATAACACACGTGTTGATAGAATCTCTTGAACATATTCATTTTCAGCTAACTATTTACACCCCAGAAAATACCACGATAACATCAAACAAAACAAGATAGTGCGTCATCGGACTCCCAGACGGTAGTTGTCGAAGTGTTTCAGACAAACTTGGCGGGAATCCTAGCACGAGCAGACGACATTCCTAATTAACCAACTTAAGTTGTCTGACTCTGTACGCTGTAGTACAGGCTCGTAAGACGTACAGTCGGCCCGGCGTACAAAGGCAAATCAACCTGTGTAACGTATGGGATCCTCCCAAGTGGGTCTAGAGAGGACGTCTGCTTGAGTTAATCGGCTGCAGACCACCAGAGGCGTCTGTTAGACCACGCCTTAATATGGCAGGCGGACGCGGGATCACCCTATGTGATTGGTCAACCCTCACCCGCCTCCTAATTCCTTCTTATAAAACGCGCACATGACAACACGGATTTCCTCAACACATTTGCCGGAAAGACGATTAACTTACCTTTACACTGTCGTCGGTTCGACTTTGTTTGAAACTACCACTGGAACTTTCTCTTCCAGAATTGTTGTCAAAGACATTTTGAAAATCGGTCAAAGATATCGTTTGTAAAATTTTCAAAACCAAATTTTTTATTTAAAAAGGAAATCGTTCGAAACGTTATTTTTGGAGGTCTTGTTTCAACATTTGTCCAAAATGGAATTGTGGTCTTGTGTCAACATTTTGATGACGCTGTTGCTGCTTTATGTTGCTGTTGAAGACGTTGACAGTAACACCATCAACAGACAGAACAGCAACAACGTTGATATAGGAAACAGTACAGAATTTGAAGACGTGGCAGACAACGGCACCGACCCCACCAACACAACGGCATCGCCAAACCTCACAACAGAGGAAGAAAGATTGTTTGAAATGAGAGAAAGGTAAGTATTTTTAAATTTACAGCTCATTTAAACCTAATAATTTTTACATTTGCATTATATCCAAATGCGTATATATTTATTGATGATTTTCATAATATTTAGGCAAAGGTTTACATATGTTTTAACTGGTACCGCCGATACTGCAAGATTTTAATTTATAACTTTTTAAAAATCCTTTTCAAACCGAAAGTGCATGCAATGCACCGAGTGATGCAATCTTCAGCAATGGCGGTTTATTACATAATGTAATCCTGTAAACCGTGACCCGAATATTATCCTCATAATGTTGAATGTAAAATTTAAATTCGAGATAAGTTAAATACCTGCAGAGTATAGGTACTCTAAAAAGTACTGAAAAAAAGTTGATATATTATTGTGTAGTGGTGTTTTGGTGTAGAGAGAGCGGGAAGCTGATGGCTGAACAAAAACGCACGCACATACACGCTCTCAATCGTTCTCTTTCTCTCTCTCACGCACACGCGCGCATCTTCCCTCAACAAGTTAAAAAATGGTGCTTGCTATTACCCTGGCTGGCGCTTAGCATTACACGTATAAAACAATGTCCCGTTCGGAGTCTGTGTACTGTGAGTGTATATATGTTAAACTGCGGCATAGTATCTCAGTAGGCTAGCGCTGCATCGCCAGCATTAGTTCGCCTCAGTACCAACAGACAGACATACATACACGCACGCGCGCGCACACACATACACACTAGCATGCACGCCGCCACTCAACTCCTCAGAATGGGCCGTCACCAGAAACACCAGCATCCGTCCGGAGTCGTACACATGCACGAACACGTGAAGCGCATGTAAGGCGTCATCATACCGTACATAACCTCATCTGATCGTAGTAGTGTAGCGGGTATTTGGTCTTACAGAGCGTAACATTCAACAACTTGCTTTGAACTATTGTCTGCTGAACAATTCCGGTGTGTACAATAAAAATATATTAAGTATATATTAAAATATAAGGCCCATAATAGATTCATTAACATACATTAACTTAGGCTGCCTCAAATGCAACTGTATTGGTTCTGTAGTATAGGGTTCTAAGTATAAGGTTCTGTGGTATAAGGGTCTGAGCATAAGGTTTTGTGATATAAGGGTCTGAGTATAAGGTTTTGTGGTATAAGGGTCTGAGTATAAGGTTCTGTAGTATAGGGGTCTGAGTATAAGGTTTTGTGGTATAAGGGTCTGAGTATAAGGTTTTGTAGTATAAGGGTCTGAGTATAAGGTTTTGTGGTATAAGGGTCTGAGTATAAGGTTCTGTAGTGTAAGGGTCTAAGTATAAGGTTTTGTGGTATAAGGGTCTGAGTATAAGGTTTTGTGGTATAAGGGTCTGAGTATAAGGTTTTGTGATATAAGGGTCTAAGTATAAGGTTCTGTAGTATAAGGGTCTGAGTATAAGGTTCTGTAGTATAGGGTTCTAAGTATAAGGTACTGTGATATAAGGGTCTAAGTATAATGTTCTGTAGTATAAGGGTCTGAGTATAAGGTTTTGTGGTATAAGGGTCTGAGTATAAGGTTCTGTAGTGTAAGGGTCTAAGTATAAGGTTTTGTGGTATAAGGGTCTGAGTATAAGGTTTTGTGATATAAGGGTCTAAGTATAAGGTTCTGTAGTATAAGGGTCTGAGTATAAGGTTCTGTAGTATAGGGTTCTAAGTATAAGGTACTGTGATATAAGGGTCTAAGTATAAGGTTTTGTGGTATAAGGGTCTGAGTATAAGGTTCTGTAGTGTAAGGGTCTAAGTATAAGGTTTTGTGGTATAATGGTCTAAGTATAAGGTTTTGTGGTATAAGGGTCTGAGTAAGGTTTTGTGATATAAGGGTCTGAATATAAGGTTTTGTGGTATAAGGGTCTGAGTATAAGGTTTTGTGGTATAAGGGTCTGAGCATAAGGTTTTGTGGTATAATGGTCTGAATATAAGGTTTTGTGGTATAAGGGTCTGAGTATAAGGTTTTGTGATATAAGGGTCTGAGCATAAGGTTTTGTGGTATAAGGGTCTGAGCATAAGGTTTTGTGGTATAATGGTCTGAATATAAGGTTTTGTGGTATAAGGGTCTGAGTATAAGGTTTTGTGGTATAAGGGTCTGAGCATAAGGTTTTGTGGTATAATGGTCTGAATATAAGGTTTTGTGGTATAAGGGTCTGAGTATAAGGTTTTGTGATATAAGGGTCTAAGTATAAGGTTTTGTGGTATAAGGGTCTGAGTATAAGGTTTTGTAGTGTAATGGTCTAAGTATAAGGTCCTGTAGTGTAAGGGTCTAAGTATAAGGTCCTGTAGTGTAAGGGTCTAAGTATAAGGTTCTGTAGTGTAATGGTCTAAGTATAATTTCTGTAGTGCAATGATTTTAGTAAAAGGTTGTGTAGTGAAAGGATCTAAGTATAAGGTTCTGTAGTATAAGGGTCTAAGTATAAGGTCATGTAGCATAAGGGTCTATGTATAAGGTTTAGTATTGTAATGGTCTAAGTATAAGGTTTCTAGTGTAATTGTCTAATTATAAGGCTTTGTAGTGTAAGGGTCTATTGATAAGGTTTGTACGCGTCTAAGTATAAGGTTTTGTAGCATAAGGGTCTATGTATAAGGTTTAGTAGTGTAATGGTCTATTTATAATGTTTCTAGTGTGATGGTCTAAGTATAAGGCTTTGTAGTGTAGGGTCTTAGTATAAGGCTTTGTAGTGTAAGGGTCTATATATAAGGTTTTGTGGTGTAAGCGTCTATTTATAAGGTTTTTGTGGTGTAATGGTCTTAGTATAAGGCTTTGTAGTGTAAGGGTCTATTTATAAGGTATTGTAGTGTAATGGTCTAAGTATAACGTTTTGTAGTGTAATGGTCTAAGTATAAGGTTTTGTAGTGTAATGGTCTAAGTATAAGGTTTTGTAGTGTAGGGTCTTAGTGTAAGGTTTTGTAGTGTAGGGTCTAAGTATAAGGTTCTGTGGTATATGGGTCTTAGTATAAGGCTCCGTAGTATAAAGGTCTTATATCTTCTACCCAATATCGACTTATCGACCAAGTACATGTTCCTATGTAACAAACACGTGGCTTGCACTAGTGATGAGAAAGGTGTTAAACATTCATTAGATTTTCCTTACCTCACTCCCTCGACGTACTGTAATGTAAATACGTTAACCATCTCAACATGCTATATGCATAATTCAAGTAGACGAAATCAGCTTTTAAGCGAATCAATGTTTATCATATGATAATGCTATCTAAAATCAATACTATTCCGTAAATGTATATTTATATATCAAAGTATTTATCAAAAGACGATTTTGGAAGAAGATTGTTTCCATTTCAACGTATAAGACCCTTATACTCAGACCTTTATGAATATGGAAGTATTTATATTAAGTAGCATTATCAAGGAAAAACCTTGATTTATTAAAGCTGATTTCTTCTTCTTGCAATGCATGTGTATAATCATTTTTCATAATTATCAAAATGGATCAAAATGGGAAATGATAAAGTTAAAAGTAAGTATAATAAAAATATGTAATAAATAAACTCGAATACAATTTTACATCAAAACGGTATATTTACTATATGACTTGGTTCATGTACACAGTGTGTTTCGTCATCCCGCAGCAAACTATCACAATTATTCATCAGAGCAAGTCTTATATACCATTCAAAAATGTAGGGGATATTCCATTTTGTGAGCATACCACTAGCCAGTGCATATGAAAAAAGTAATATATATCCATACAGATGAAACATTTCCAAAGGAATGGAATAAATTGTCACATTTTCCCTTAATTTCTCTTCATCATCTGTTTCCTCCTTGGCTTCATCATTTGCATTTTATCAATCTTGTAAATCCAATATCACCTACTTTGTTTGGTTGGTATATATTCCCAATACAATACGTTCACGCCAGCATTGTTGAAGAAGTCATGCTGATACATATGCTTATATAAACTAAAATCTAGTTTCTGAAATAGTTACTTTTTTTTTACAAAAAGTAGTTATTTCAATAAAATATGATAAAAAGGCCCCCGAAAGACTTTCTTAGAAACTACAGTAATCCAAACTTGCCAACTATTACAGACTTGGTTTGTTGGATAGTTTTGTTCCAGGATCTGTATGACTTATAGGAAAGTCCGATATAGCGGATTGTCCGTTATTACTACCAAAATATTGAACATGGCTTGAAAATGTGTTTTTGTTCACTTAAATAAAGAAAATTAATAAAAAATAAAGTTTCGGTAAGACCCCTGGTGCTTACTGCGGAATAACTCTACTGAACAAGGCGTTATGAAGTCCCACCTACGACACAAGATGTTATGACGTCCCACCTACAACACCTGACATTGACTCTGTACAAGACGTTGACTCTGTACAAGACGAAGTGCCACTACAACACAAGATGTTATGACGTCCCACCTACAAGATGTTATGACGTCCCACAAGACGTTATAAAGTGCCACCTACAACACCTGACATTGACTCTGTACAAGACGTTATAAAGTGCCACCTACAACACAAGATGTTATGACGTCCCACCCAACACACGATGTGTTATGACGTCCCAAGACAACACATGATTTTATGACGTCCCCACAACACCTACAACACCACCTACAACACCTGACATTGACTCTGTACAAGACGTTATAAAGTGCCACCCAACACCTGACAACACTCTGTACACGTTATAAAGTGCCACCTACAACACCTGACATTATGACCTACAAAGACCCATAAAGTACAACTACAACACCTGACATTGACACTGTACAAGACGTGCCACCTACAACACCTGACATTGACTCTGTACAAGGTGTTATGAAGTGCCACTACAACTACACATTGACAAGACAAGAGTGCCACCTGTCATGACGTCCCACCTACAACACCTGACATTGACTCTATACAAGGATGTTATGACGTCCCACCTACAACACAAGATGTTATGACGTCCCACCTACAACACCTGACATTGACTCTGTACAAGACGTTATAAAGTGCCACCTACAACACCTGACATTGACTCTGTACAAGGTGTTATGACGCCCCTACAACCTGACACCTACAACACAAGATGTTATGACGTCCCACCTACAACACCTGACATTGACTCTGTACAAGGTGTTATGACGTCCCACCTACAACACAAGATGTTATGACGTCCCACCTACAACACCTGACATTGACTCTGTACAAGGTGTTATGACGCCCCACCTACAACACAAGATGTTATGACGTCCCACCTACAACACCTGACATTGACTCTGTACAAGGTGTTATGACGTCCCACCTACAACACAAGATGTCATGACGTCCCACCTACAACACCTGACATTGACTCTGTACAAGGTGTTATGACGCCCCACCTACAACACAAGATGTCATGACGTCCCACCTACAACACCTGACATTGACTCTGTACAAGGCGTTATAAAGTGCCACCTACAACACCTGACATTGACTCTGTACAAGGCGTTAAAAAGTGCCACCTACAACACCTGACATTGACTCTGTACAAGGCGTTATAAAGCGCCACCTACGACACAAGTTGTTATGAAGTCCCACCTACAACACCTGACATTGACTCTGTACAAGATGTCATGACGTCCCAGCTACAACACCTGACATTAACTCTGTACAAGATGTCATGACGTCCCACCTACAACACCTGACATTGACTCTGTACAAGATGTCATGACGTCCCAGCTACAACACCTGACATTAACTCTGTACAAGATGTCATGACGTCCCACCTACAACACTTTAAGTCCCGTGTTATGAACACCTGACTTCTAGACGATCACAGTGACTAGGTGCACGGCTATGACTATCACAACAGTCACTGTCTGTGTAGGCTACGCATCGTACTCTAGCCTGATTCACAACGACATCTTTGACCTCCAAGGTGTACACAATCAGTTATTTCTGGTTGTTGTGGTGGTTTCTGAGACCCATCAATCTCTTCGTCTGACCCACATCTGTCAAGTTGTGACCTTCCAGTGTCCATGCGGGATTCCTACACCAACACACGTGATCACTTTGTGACGGAGTGATTTGTCAATATCCCATGGTGTGTTTTCGAGTTGTTATCACCCGTTGTATCACATTCTCAACACATTAGAAGGTTGTGTTCACTGTTTACCACCACGCTACAGTGGAAGAGGTATACAAGCGTTAAGGACTGACTTTGTTGGACATCTTGTAACATAGATCTGCACAATTGATTATGACATATGGAAACAATCATAGCATTTAATTAGTGTATATGACATTTTAACTTCCTACAATAAGTAAGTATGACGTAGGATACCATGAGATACTATGCCAAAATATATATAACTGAAAACGTATTGATTGAGAGAAATTGTATAATTAAACAAATTAATATTTCTTTTCTGAAAACAATGATGACAAGCAAATTCTGATAAGTTTCGTATTGATTGAGAAATACTGAATAATTATACGAATAAATATACTGACGTACAAAAGAAAGTATACACCTGGTGTTTTGGGGACTTTTAAAAATCAAATATTTTGCTAGCAATGTTGTTATTGGGAACGATATCTGTGTTGTTTTGAAAATACTTGTTTGTGACTTGGAAAGCAGAATCAAAACTCTTAAAATATTAACTCTGTTCTTAAGAAAATATTATACCAAACAATCAGGTGTGTACTTTCTTTTGAACGTCAGTATACTTCTTTTCAGAAGACAATGATTTTATTTATTATTTATTCTTATAAGTTTCATATAGTACATTATATAATATCTAACCGCCACGACGTTCAGATCGACGATGACATGGATGATACAGCGGCATTGATTCCTTCCTTCGTGACGTAACCTGATTCAGTATATTTTACGTGAACCATCATTTGAATTAATAATACAAACAGAACCAATGTCCTGAAACGCCGTAGGATAAATGAATGAGTTGTATTTGACGGTGTCTAAACCTTTAACCTCTTTGCAAACCAAACATGAGATGAGAAGCCAAGACAAGCTTTGACTGAATACTGCGACAACATGCCGTTATAAAACGTGTTGCAACGTTGTGTCTGTGAAAGTTAAATATTTAAATAATGACCCAATTGTTATGTTCGCACACGTACTAGTGAGTGAGTTTAGTTTTATGCCGCTTTTTGAAATATTCCAGTAATATCATGGCGGGGGACACAGAAATGGGCTTCACATATACTCAGCAAAAATGAACCACCCCAATAATAAATATTTAAGCATTATATTGATCATAATATGAACCATTAAATAATTTATTATTGAAGATTGGGCCCTTAACTTTTTTGTTCAGTATGTTTACCCAACTGGGGATAGAACCCGGGTCTTCGACGTGACGAAACAGCAGAAAACTATGTCTTCTAGATAACAGTCATGCAGTACATTCGTGTACGAGATGAACTCAATGATAGTGCGAAAATTCTTCTCCATTCATCCCGTATCCCCCTTAATTCCCCACCATTCACATCCAGGTGATCTGGGATGGGGGCACAGGCTTTACTAGACTAATGAGGGACATTCCTTATGGGAAGAATAGTGGCCTGTATTGTGGGTAGGGCTCGCAGAGGGGGATGCCCGTGACACTGACACAGATAAACGGTGCTTGGTTATGGTAATCATGTGTGTGGGGTGCCACGTGGTACATCTTCTGAAGCTACCCGCGAAGATCCTAGAATTCTTCAGTGAACCATGCTTGTCGTAAGAGGCGACTAACGGGATCGGGTGGTGAAGCTCGCTGACTTGGTTGACACCTGTCATCGTATCCCAGTTGCGTAGATCGATGCTCGTGATGTCATGCACGCACGCACGCACGCACGCACGCACGCACGCACGCACGCACGCACACACACACTCACACACGCACAATAATTTGAATTACAAGAACCGTGAATATATTATCAATTATAGTGTGAAGAGATAATGTGAAAGTGTGTTCATGTGGTTTTACGCCGCTTTTAACAATATTCCAGCAATATGATGGGGGACACAAGGAACGGCCTTCGCGAACTGTAGGCTTGAGGGGAGCGAACTCGGGCTTGCGACGTAACAAGCGAACACTTTAACACTTTAACCCCGAGGCTACCCAACTGATAGTTACAATACATAGAGTACTTGTGACCGAAATGGTAGATCGAAATTCGCTAAGGGCAAATGGTGACTTGGGTGTTAACAGCTCAGACCGCAGAGTCTAGTCAGTAAAATGTCTCCGTGCCTTGACGGATCCTACATAGATGTGGTGGCCTAGTGGTTAACGCGTTCGTTCGTCACGACCAAGACCTTGGTTCGATTCTACAAATAGCTACAATGTGTGAAGACCCTTTCTGGCCTCTCCCTCACTGTTACTGCTGGAATATTGCTAAGAGCGGCGTAAAACAAGAACCACTCATTTAACTGACCCCACCCTGCCGGAATATTAAAGTAAGCGCTCTATCTCTCCTCAGGATCCATTCATGGAACCGCCGATACCGTCTGCAGCGGATCCGGGAACAGATTCTGCGCAGTCTGGGCTGGACGGAACCTCCGAGCATCCCGGAAGGCCTCATCCGCAACATTACCAACCAATCATACCCTTACACGTTGATGGAGGACGAACTGGAGAACAGGGAGGAGAGCCGCTGTTTCTCTGCCTCGTGTGAGTATAGCAGTAAACGATATATACTCTACAGGCAAATTTACACTAGTACATATAGCAGTATATCTATGTGACATAACGGTAGCCTAGTGGTTAAAGCGTTCGCTCGTCACGCGGAAGACCCGGGTTCGATTCCCCAAAAGGGTGCAATGTGTTGAAGCCCATTTGTGGTGTCCCCCGCCGTGATATTGCTGGAATATAAGCTGCCTTAAACGCAACGCACATACTTACTTTGTGACATAACATTGAAAACACACAATAAATACAAAATAGGCTGAAACATTTGTGATTTACAACATAAACTGTCACGATTTATAACAACGCTCCTTGTGAGTACACACTGTGTACACCTATTTATAGCTCTACAATCAAATATACACGACTATGTATAACATTATATATCTGGGTATAACATAACCAAACATGATGACATGCTCAGAGATTTCTGACCCGTGAAGGTCAGGGTTAGAATTGATCTTCAGTAACCCATACTTGTTGTAAGAGGCGACTTACGGGATCGGGTGGTCAGGCTCGCTGACTTGGTTGACACATGTCATAGTGTCCAAAATGCGGAGATCGTTGCTCATGCTGTTGATCACTGGATTGTCTGGTCCAGACTCGATTATTAACAGACCGCTTCCATTTAGCTGGACTATTGCTGAGTGCGGCGTAAAACTAAACTCATTCACTCAGCGATTTCTATTTTACAGCAAAATATTTCATTTTATGTGGGAAAATGTGTTAACAAATATAACTATTCATGACGATGCTTTTTGTGGCTACAGTAGTTATACGAATTATAAATATCTACAGGCAACTATACATGTATTATATTATATCTAAGTGGTATAACAGTACTGAAAACCCATTAGGACAGTACGGTGGATATTTTTGTATTCTACAATATATTGTATATAGGTATTTATAATTTTACGCGACACTATTAGTAAGACAATATACTACTAGGTATAATTATACATTATGTATGCGTGGTATAACAGTATTGCAAATTGTAACAACAGATGCAATTAGTTATTACAATATTCTCAGCAATTTATATTTGTTACGGAAAAACCTTTGAAACAAAATATATGTTTCAGAAACATAACTAATTAGAATAGTATAGACTAAATGTAAAACAATATTTAGAAAGCAACTAAATATTACTTATATAGATTACTACTTGGTAGAGCACATCTGCATGTAACAGTATGACAGTGTTCTGACCCAGTAACAATACGTATATCTAAGGTGGACGAGGTATAACTTGGTATAAATAGGTATAACGAGGTATAACTTGGTATAAATAGGTATAACAAGGTATAACTTGGTATAAATAGGTATAACAAGGTATAACTTGGTATAAATAGGTATAACGAGGTATAACTTGGTATAAATAGGCATAACAAAGTATAACAATGTATAATACTCTATATAACACAAGATGCATCTAGCTAATAGGTTTAATACTATATACCGGCAGATTTAAGCTAAATGCAACTAGATTTAAGACAATAGAACTCTATATAAAAACTATAATTGCCTATAGTTCAAACCTATATATACTCGATATATACTAGTTTTATCATTTTAATAAATGTTTAAACAAGTGTAGTAAATGGATGATTTGTCAGCTGCAATCTGTGAATAAAATGTATGCAAATATTCAGATAAATGAGTGAAAGGTGTTTGAAAAATATGTGAATAATTTATGATTTTTAAAGAACACATATGCAGATACTTTTTAGCAATGTTTAATTATTATCTAAAAATGTGTGAAAAACGATTTTGTTACAAAAAACATTTTTGTTTTGGAAAGAATAAAAGTAGGTGACAAAAATATCTTTTTGAAGTGTCGTTGTCAAAGATATTCGACAACATGCAAGGCAGACAGAAACAAAGTGCAGACTGTGAAATTCTGTACATGAAAACAGGGGCGTTTGCTGATGGCTGCGAACTTGTCAAGGCCAGACAATGTGACCCCCACGTGGTGTTTAACGGTACTCCCATGAGCCTTTGGGTATTTTCCATTCTTAGATGTCTGAGGTATTCACAATGAGAATGGCATGCGACCCTGAATGAAAACCTCATTCATTCATAACTTCATTGGAATTTTCCAGTATCTTCTTGAGCCATGGATTATAGTGAAGACGGCCCCCCGGGGTGGTATTAGGAATGAATGGGCTACATTGATTGCGACGGCACAGGCTAGGGCGGGGTAGAGGCCTTCACGGCGGATGTTTATTGCTTGTTGTCCAATTTAGATGATGTTAAATGGGAATAATGTGCTTAAGAGATTTGCAGCAGGAATGCCTCAAGCAGGAATGTATTTATAGAAAGCATGTGTCTCACATACACTAAATTAATTACACATTTAATGGCCATTGCTTCTGTTTAGAACGTAAATCAAAAAGATTTCATAAAAATCCATTTTTTGATAAATTAAATAGTTGACAAGAAACAAAACTGTTATAGAACTGAAGCAGAATGTATCTTACAACATTAAAAATTATGTTGCTGGGCAACAGTTCGGAACGGTATTCCAGTTCCACGAAAATATAGACCCGGAACCTTTTAAAAATACTTCTTTATTGTTTGACATGGGGGCGGTGGGGTTGCCTAATGGTTAACGCGTTCACTGGTCACGCGGCGAAGATCTTGGTTCGATTCCACAAATAGCTGCAATGTGTGACGCCCATTTCTGGTATCCCCTGTGGTGATATTGCTGGAATATTGTTAAAAGCGGCGTCAAAATAAAGTCACTCACTCACTCACTATTGTTTGAAATGACGTTTCAGTTCTTATCCATAACAAGCGCCACGTCATTTAAATGATAACGGTCACATTTCTCATTTTTGTTGATTAGGAATGATAAAACCTTGTTGACATTGTATTTCCCTTTGAAACAAAACTACAAATACCATACGTTGTTCTTTTTATGTTTAACGCCGCACTCAGCAATATTCCAGCTATATGGCGGCGGTCTGTAAATAATCGTGTCAGGACCAGACAATCCGGTGATCAACAGCATAAGCAACGACAATTACCACACGAATAACCAAAGTTTATCAAACATTATAAAGAGTTCTCAAAAATGTTGACTACAAAGGTTGGAGACATTTTTTGTTGTTTATTGTTCATGAAATTATATATTTTACCCAAAAGTAAATAAATGTATGAAAGTGGCAAATTTGGTCAACCATACAATAATTATTAGTAGACAAACTTTCAGTGCCTGTGACATATCTTGTAATGACCTTCCTAGACTAACGCTTAGTCTCTGAATATATACAATTTTGACAGCAGCAAACAAACCCATTTAAATTGAAAAGGAGACCCAGGGAGACCAGAGATTCAGAACCTGATGAGAACCTGAAGACATCTAGACTTGCTTCATCTAGAGCTTTAGCATTGCAGGGAGGGTTAGACAGTAGGGAACATATTGTTCTGGGACTGTGAGACAGATTATGATCTTCCAGGTTCTCTCCCGAGGAATATCGACCGCCAGTTGTGGGAGGACAACCAGCTCGGAGGTTTCCGAGTCTACACGAGTCTAGCTGCGAGACAGGACACTGCCCCAACACATCTGCGGCAAGCCAATCTGAATGTCTTCCTTCGACACACGAATGGTAAGTATTGTTCATATTTCTAATAATATATCTATAATTTTATTGCATTGTTTATTAATTTTCCCACATTATCAACATCTGCATCTGTTTACGAACGGAGACAAAGAACAGCCAGGGACTTGTAATATTAAGTCAGCTGAAATCGTATACGATCAGTTTAATAATGTTATATAACCCGGTTCGGCTAATGTCTGACTTAACGAGTCATGGTTGGGTTATGAACTTTGTCAGAAACAGCAGCCGCTCTTGACAGAAAAGAAGAGCAATGCTGTTACTGTCGAAAATGTTGGAGTTTATGTTGAAGTGTATGGAGTGTAATCCTTAGTGTTTGGAGACCCTAAAACCCAAGTATGATCCCCCAAAAATGAAAACATTAAATAACATATGAAAAAAAATAAATATATATAATGATGTCTCACGTGCATTATTAAAGGGGATAGACATGACGAAAAACATGGACTGGGCAGCTAGGGGTCATTGTCCAGGTAAACAGCGTCATCGCACATGTATCTCATTGGGCTAGCCCTTCAAGACACGCAATTGTCACGGCTCTTACAAGAAGCCAAACTCGTATGCAAACACACCCATCTCAGATATTCTTGTTGGATGAAGTTCTTCATGCTCTTGGGCAGTGGGGTAGCCTAATGGTGAAAACGTTGGCTCGTCACGCTGAAAAACCGGGTTCAATTCCTCACATGGGTACAATGGTTGTCTCCCATTTCTGGTGTTCACCCGCCCTGATGTTGCTGGAATATTGCTAAAAGCTTTTATGGCGTAAAACCAAACCCAGTCGATATTGGGCTGGGGTAGACTAATGGTTGCGTCACGCTGAAAAATTGTTTTCCTACATGGGTACAAACCATTTACTCCCGCCCTGATATTGCTGGAATATTGCTAAATTGCTTTTATTGCGTAAAACCATACTCACTCACTCTTCTTGCTCTACCCCAGGCTTCACTTGTCACGGGGAGGAGGTTCCAATGTCAGCGAGCGGCTCCAGGTTCCTGGTGTCGGTGTACCAATTCCTCAGACCTCTGAGATTCCAGCGATCTCGCAACAGAGGTAAGTAAAAGAACAAAGAAGAACCTCTGGGTATGGATTTATATGATTGCTATATTGTGTATCATGTGAAGTATATAGCTATATTGTGAATATAGCCATCTAGGTTTTTATATCGTGTACATGTATATATAGAGAGATAGATGGTTCTATTGTATATATAGCGAGCTGTATATAGCTAGGTAGTTGGCTATATCGTGTAATGAGCGAGGTATATGGCTAAATCTTGTATACAGCAAGGTATGTGCATGTATGTATAGGGGGCATTTTATTTTTGCTCTATGACTGAAATGACATTGTATCTCCAAAACATGAAATAGCATTCCTTGCTTCAATCACTGATTTGGTCATTTACTTGACGTTAGTGTTGCTGAATGCGGTGTAAAACAATATCTGCTCACTTATTCACTTGCACTTTAAACGGTATCATCCTTGAAACAAGACCATGAGATAGTAACTATTCTCATCCCATTGTTTTCTGTGCTAATTTCAAGTTCAAAATGGTCATTCTGTGATTCAGTTTTAAACCGGAAGCGCTTGCTGGATGCCCGGATGGTGACAACAACGGGACCAACGTGGGTGACGTTTGACGTGAAACAGGCCGTCATGCAGTGGTTAAGCGGCGAGCGGAACAACTTCGGTTTCGAGATTATTGTCAAAGATGAAAACGAGGTGCCATGTAACGCAATGAATATGGTTGTTCCCGTCGATTGCAATAGTCCAGAAGGTATGTAATAAAATAGAGGAAGAACTCACGACTAATCAAGGTTACTTCAGAACACGAACATAAGATACACAAAACACTGTGAAAGAAAACATGTGTTAGTTGTTGAGGTTGAGCTATGTATAATTGACTTTGTAGAGTTTCATAATAAAGTTTCAAAAGAACTGATGAGTGAGTGAGTTTAGTTTTACCCCGCTTTTAGAATTAAAGAACCTTTACTTTCCTGATTGGCCCACTGTCCCTTATGGTTATACAACAGGTGTAAGTGAAGCAATTAATTATACATTTCCCCAGGTGCAGGATCGAAATCCCCATCCCGCCTGGCGCCTTTAAAATTTAAACGCATTTGTGGTTTTTCGTGTATGAACTTATTTTCACTTTCAAACTCTAAGCGTGAGACTTCTAGCAGACATGGGACGTTTATAGTGAGTGAGTCTAGTTTTACGCCGCTTTTAGCAATATTCCAGCAATATCACTGCCAGAACACCAGAAATGGGCTTCACACAATGTACCCCTGTTGGGAAACGAACCCGGGTCTTCGGCGTGACGAGCGAACGCTTTAACCACTGGACAACCTCACCGCCCAGAGAACTGATGAAGAAACATTGATATAAAACCACGGAACGTTGAAAGCGATTTTAGGATTAACTTATTTATGTTTTGACGTAATTTGGTTTGACGGTCCCAGGGGATCGAAACTTAGGCTCCCTTTGTAGACGTTCTATCAATTATGCTATGGAAGTATTAAAACTTTCAGCTGAAATGGGTTTATTGAAATTTGAAATATTGATATTTTTACATTGTCATCTTTTTCTGGTTTGCCGATTGGTCATCTTGTTCGCAGTCACGCCGTGAATCCGGTTCGATTCCCACAACTAGTATAACATTTTGGGGAATGTTTCAGTGTGTCGGCATTCTAATATATTATTAGTGTTAATAGTTTGTAAAAAGTGGCGTTAACCCAACCACCCTCTCTCCTACTCACCCATTCACTTACTCATTTCAGAGACTGGATGCCGGGAGGAACCAGTAGCTTTCAACCGATTCCGCTGGATTCAGGAGAACATTGAATCCAACTATCCTTACTTAGAAATCATCACTACTCAAAGCCGATTTCGTCCTCCATTTGGTCGACTCCGTGCGAGACGTGACGTCGGAGCTACGTCGTCACCGGTCACAACTGCGGCACCAAAAAACAGCGTGAGATCGGTCGGGATGTGTCAAGGCACGGAAGTGAGGATAGCCACGTGGGAGTCAAGTGAGTTTAAATATATAAGCATGGGCGGATCCAGGAATTTTGAAAAGAGGGGGTTCAGGGGGTTCAAACCCCCTGAACATCCCATTGCCTCCGCTAACGCAAAAAAAATCTTCAATGTGGTCTTAAGTCATTTTCAAAGGGGGGTCGAACCCCCAGAACCCCCCCTCTGGATCCGCCAATGTAAGAATACCATTATGAAACTAAATCCTCATTTCCGAAGGTTTTCTTTTGTTAGTCTAATAATAGCATACTGTGCATTTCCCAATAGCACTTATATGATCCTTTTCTCTCTCTCTATATATATTAATGGAAGAAATTATTGGAAGAAATAATATATTTTAACGGGAGAAATATTAAGTTCCTTATACATAAACCATCCACTATTATAAAGTTAACTGTAGGTTACCAGCATCTTGTCGCAAGTGAACATGTTTGAAGCCCTTTTCCGGTGTCCCCCGCCGTGATATTGCTGGAATATTGCTAATAGCGACGTAAAACTACACTCACTCACCCACTCTTGACCAGAAAAGGTATTCGGCATGTGTTCACCCACTCACTCACTCACTCGCTATTTGTTCGAATATCATTCGACGAGTGTCTTGTACATTTCAGGCCCCTATGTAATAGCACCATCATCATACACGACGCTTATGTGTGGCGGCACCTGCGTGACGACGTTCAACGGCATGCTGCAGGTAGGTGTTTAAGTTGCGTCCCTTCCCTGAGCCAGGATATGCAATATGCAGAGTTTGCATTTGTCTCCTTCACCAAAGTAGTTGTCTTTGACCCATTTCACCACAGGCTTTATTCCTCATGAATGAATACAGTAAGATTCCTATTATTTTGGTCCCCTTTAACCCTGATCGTTGGAAGCGATTTGAGGAGGTCAGACTATATGTGAAATGGTTGATGCGTGTGTTGGTACCCCGAAGCAGAGGCCCGCGGGTCAATAAAATCACTAGACTGTCTGACCCAGATTCGATTATTTACAGGCCGCTGTCATACAAATGAATAACTGCTAACTAACAGAACAGAATTGGCACAGATTGATAATCAGAATAGTCTTGAATAGTTCACATATGTGAATTCGACGGGGGCGGTGGGGTAGCCTAGTGGTTAAAGCGTTGGCTCGTCACGCCGAAGACCCGGGTTCGAATCCCCACATGGGTACAATGTGTGAGGCCCATTTTTGGTGTCCCCCGCCCTGATGTTGCTGGAATATTGCTAAAAGCGGCGTAAAACCAAACTCAGTCAGTCAGTCAGTGAATTCGGCGACTCGATTAGTTCACGTTCATGAGAGTCATAATGATTTTACGAAACCAGAATCAGATTCGTGTATTTCCCCAGCGAAAACGACACCATACATTTTTATAACATGACGTGTACTAATTTTTTTATTTCCCATTTATCTTCTAAAATCCTTTGACGTCCCTTTTATCAACATGCACTGACCATGACCATAGAAAACCACAAATGTCGAATGACGTGAAGAATCCTCAGCCATAACTTCACACTTAAATGTGCGGAAATGTATTTCAATGTACAACGTACAAAATTAATTTCTGTTTTAGCAAGTGTTTATGTGAGGAAATGTGTTTTATTGCACAATGTAAAATTGATTTCTGTTTAAGCAAGTGTTTATTTCTATTCACAGATTGTATCGTCACGCTGTCGGCCTACTGAGTCACGTCCCGTGATGGGTCTTTATTTTGACGATTCCCAGCGAGTTTATTATGGAGAGCTGCCGTTCACACAAGTCTTACAGTGTGGCTGCTGATGAAATACTGCTGTTTCAAGTTATTTTTCAATTAAGATGCCATTTGAACACGAACATTTCTGTCAATGGTTTATGCCTTAAAAGGAACATTTCGCCTAAGCTATTTGACGTGTAATATGTGCAAGTTTTTTGAATGTCTATTTCTTGAAAGATAGGGAAATTGGATCAAGTGGTTCAAATCGAAATGCCATTTGAATGAGAATTATATTATAGTATTTTTTATTTTTTATGGAAGAATAGCTACTGTTACAAGTGTGCATGCATCAGTGTGACTTCACAGAAAATGCATCGAGAATGAGGCATCGTGTGACTAAGGTGCCCCTTCCATTCATGTCAAATCAAAATATCATTCTTTAATAATCTATTCAGAAAAGATCTACTAGTAGCTAAACCCGGACTGAATGGATGATGGAGTGTATTTTATGAAAAATGAAAATTGAATATCAATTACAAAGGTTTTCGTGTTAAAGAGGCATGTTCGTGTCTCTTAACCGTGTAATATTTTCTTCATCATATCAGTATTTGTTTGAAGTAGGACATATGATTGCATTCTTTATGTACGTTACATTTATTCCAATGCTTGTTTCAACACGTTGCCATGGTTACTGCACCACTTCATCACCTACAGCGTGTCACGTGACATTGTACATACTTCATGCGTGTAGTTAGCCGGAAGTGCCCACAAGGGATCCTTACAATGCAATGATGTGTCAGAGCGATTGAATGAAGGATGATAGAGTGAGTGAATGTAAGAGTGAGTGAATGAATGGATTTTATTGGTTATTCCTTTTCCTCAACAAGGAGACAGATGGCAGCACTTGTTTTGTATTACATTGTTTATCAATATGAATATAACATATGTGTGTATATCACTGGAAACGGTCAAGCTGTGCGATGTATTCCCTTGGCGTCCCCGATTTCCCACATGGGTACAATGTGTGAAGCCCATTTCTTGTGTCCCCCGCCGTGATGTTGCTGGAATATTGCTAAAAGCGGCGTAAAACCAAACTCAGTCAGCCTAGGCGTCCCCTTTAATATGGCATCAGTTCGGGAATATGAAGAGAACGAAAGCGGCATCATCTGAAGCGCTCGTAAATGTTTACCATCAGCATCACTGTTGAACGCTGATCCCTTCTTTGTGGAAACTAAAACGACGTTTATAGTTTGAGGAAGTCTCTTAAACGTTGGAAGATATGTTTTCCGGATGATAACTTATTTATTGATTCTGATAATGGGGAAATGTATCCCTGAACTGTCGCCATAAACTAAAACGAAGGTGTTTTCTATAAACGTTCAAGGGGCGGGGTAGCCTAGTGGTTAAAGCGTTCGCTCGTCACGCCAAAGACCCGGGTTCGATTTCCCATATGGGTACAATGTGTGGAGCCCATTTCTGGTGTCCCCTGTCGTGATATTGCTGGAATATTGCTAAAAGCGGCGTAAAACTAGACTCACTCACTATAAACGTCCCATGTCTGCTAGAAGTCTCACGCTTAGTGTTTGAAAGTGAAAATAGGTTCATAGACGAAAAGCCACAAATGCGTTTAAATTTTAAAGGCGCCAGGCGGGATGGGGATTTCGATCCTGCACCTGGGGAAATGTATAATTAATTGCTTCACTTACACCTGTTGTATAACCATAAGGGACTGTGGGCCAATCAGGAAAGTAAAGGTCCTTTAATTCTCCAGCTGAATATTTATTGAATCCTGGTGAAGCGGTGAATGTATGATGAATTTTGGTGAATTCGTCACCCTTTCATCATACAGTTTATGAACATGAAGTTGTGTTTCCAGTGCATATGAAATATATGGACATGAAAATACCGATGTTGTTTCAGTATATGTTTTATTCAAACTGTATTTATGCATTTTTCATGTGTATTTATTTCGTTTTAGTGACATGTGTTTGTTATGACCGTCTCTGTTAATCCTGTTGTTGCATGTACCCAGTGCCTCATGTCTAGACTAGAGCAGTCGGTTGTAGAAACTGTATCGTGTGTTATCAATGAATGTCGTTATCAAATAAACATCCACTACATTAAAACTATCTCTTTCTATGTTGTTTGTTCTTTACTGGATATTCCAGCAATAGGATTGGATTTGATTGGTTGTTGTTTAACGCCGTCTTCAGCAATATTCCAGCTATATGACTGCGGTCTGTAAAAATCGGGTCTGGACCAGACAATCCAGTGATCAATATCATGAGCATCGATCTACGCAATTGGGATACGATGACACGTGTCAACCGAGCCGGCGAGCCTGACCACGCGATCTCGTTAGTCGCCTCTGACAACAAGTATGGGTTACTGAAGATCAATTCTAACCCGGATCTTCACGGGTCAGAAATCGCTGAGCATGTCATCATGTTTGGTTATGTTATACCCAGATATATAATGTTATACATAGTCGTGTATATTTGATTGTAGAGCTATAAATAGGTGAAGATCAATTCTAAAGTGTTCGCTCGTCTCGCTGAATATCCGGGTTCGATTCCCCACATGGACACAATACGTGAAGCCCCTTTCTGGTGTCCCCCGCTGTGATATTGCTGGAATTTGCTAAAAATTCCGTACAAAAATCACTATATGATGGCGGTCTATAAATATATGAGACCAGACAATCCTGTGACTGACATAATGAGAGTCGGTATTCTCATTTGGGATGACATCTGACAACTAATTATAAGTTAGCGACCGTGACCAACCAATCACCTGAGTCGCCACTTACAACAAGTGATAGCCTAGTCAGAGGTAGAGATAAGCTGCGTATCTGCGTAAATTACGCAAATAGTTATGTGAAAACTCAATTCCTATTAAGTCTATTGCGTACAAGTACGCTTCATTTTTGTAAATACACAGTAGATTTGATATTACATGTGTACAAACCAAAATAGATAAAATATATGTGGTATATTGAGAGTTTCTATTTCAGCACCTGGACTTGGCAACTTGCAGTCTTTCTTATCCTTTCTCATATAACAGATCAAATATAAATAACAAACACGCAAACCAACATTTAAACTTTAATATATTTTTACAATTAATGGAATATGGCAAAATACCCAATTGCGTTTGAGTGAGGTGGGTACAATTTATTTGGAACATTAGGATACGCAAATGAGATGCACACAACAGAGTAGCCAAAAGAGTTGCGTCCCTTAGCCGCGCTACCCGTCGTAGGTCACACACTCGTGAGTCCAAGTGTGTCACCACCTCACGTGCGCATTTTTACAACTTATGTCACATTTGGGATTGTTGGCACATTAAACAGGACGGCGAGTGATCTCCGTGGTTAAGACGATTCCTCATCACGCCGGAGACCCGGGTTCAATTCCCGTCATAGTATTATACGTGAAGCCGATTTCTGGTGTCCCCCGCCGTGATATTGTTGGAATATATCATGGTATTATACGTGAAGCCCATTTCTGGTCTCCCACCCCGTGATATTGCTGGAATATTTCTAAAAGCGGCGTAAAAGCATACTCACACACTCCTCATCACGCCGGAGACCCGGGTTCAATTCCCGTCATGGTATTATACGTGAAGCCCATTTCTGGTGTCCCATGCCGTGATATTGCTGGAATATTTCTAAAAGCGGCGTAAAAGCATACTCACACACTCCTCATCACGCCGGAGACCCGGGTTCAATTCCCGTCATGGTATTATACGTGAAGCCCATTTCTGGTGTCCCAGGCCGTGATATTGCTGGAATATTTCTAAAAGCGGCGTAAAAGCATACTCACACACTCCTCATCACGCCGAAGACCAGGGTTCAATTCCCTCCATGGTACAATGTGTGAAGCCCAAATCTGGCCTCCCCTTAGTATTGCTAAAATATTGCTTAAAACGGCGTAAAAGTATACTCAATAAACCGACACGCCACGGTAACCTGAAGACCTATTTGTCCAATATTAATCAAATACTAGTAACTATTTGTTGAAGCTAATACTCATGGTTTCATTGTGATCGTATTAGCTCATTAAATATTGATATGACGAGAACTCAGTTCTCACATTGCTGATTCAGTTTGTTGTGACTAAACAGCCACTGTATTAGCATAAGCCCTAAATGGACCTACCAATATACTTTGAATTATTACCCAGCGGAAGTATATCAGCACTGATTGATCTAAATGTATAGTTATTGCAGAAGTCCGCGAAAGTAGAAAACAGAGACGATGCTTGTCCGTATCGAATCATTAAAATGTACTTATTGCTTTTGGCAGGAACAATATTTAATAGCCTGTACGTCAGTGAGACAAAGAGCTACTATCTGTATGACTAGCAATAGGCTCTTGCCAATTGAAACTGGACTGGATTATAATATATTAACGGGAATTCATTGAACATAAGTAATCAATTGACACTACTACTACCACCACCACCACCACCACCACCACACACCAAAACCACAAAAGTAACCACCATCACCACCGTACACCAAGTATCAGCAGCATTGGCAGCAGCAGCAGCAGCAGCAGTAGCAGTAGCAGTAGCATTAGCAGCAGCAGCAGCAGCAGCAGCAGCAGAGTAGCAGCATCAGCAGCAATCAGCAGTAGCAGCAGTAGCAGCAGCAGCATCAGCAGCAGCAGCAGTAGCAGCAGCAGCAGTAGCAGCAGCAGCAGCAGCATTTAGCAGTAGCAGCAGCAGTAGCAGCAGCAGCAGCAGCAGAGCAGCAGCAGCCAGCAGCAGCAGCAGCAGTAGCAGTAGCAGCAGCAGCAGCAGCAGCAGCAGTAGCAGCAGCAGCAGCAGCAGCAGCAGCAGCAGCAGCAGCAGCAGCAGCAGTAGCAGCAGCAGCAGCAGCATCAGCAGCAGCAGCAGCAGCAGTAGCAGTAGCAGCAGCAGCAGCAGTAGCAGCAGCAGCAGCAGCAGCAGCAGCAGTATTATAGCAGCAGTAGTAGCACTAGTAGCAGTAGCAGCAGTACTAGCAGCAGCAGTAGTAGTAGCAGCAGCAGCAGCAGTAAGCAGCAGCAGTAGCAGCAGCAGCAGGTAGCAGCATCAGCAGCAGTAGTAGCAGCAGTAGTAGTAGCAGTAGTAGTAGTAGCAGTAGTAGAGTAGTAGTATCAGTAGTAGAGTAGTAGTAGTAGTAGTAGTATCAGTAGTAGTAGTAGTAGTAGTAGTAGTAGTAGTAGTAGTATCAGTAGTAGTAGTAGTAGTAGTAGTAGTAGTAGTATCAGTAGTAGTAGTAGTAGAGTAGTAGTAGTAGTAGTAGTAGTAGAGTAGTAGTATCAGTAGTAGTAGTATAGTAGAAGTAGTAGTGCCCTTAAGCTCAGGGCGATACATTACACAGGCCAACAGGTCAGTACACAATAAATTTTCATTCTCAACTGTACTGGGGAGTATACAACCCAAGCTTACCCTGAGGCGCTAGAAAACTAACAGTTCTATTACCATCTCAACCTACCGGGTACCCATTCACTGCTGCGTAGGCATAGAATATATATACTATTCCTCTGTATACGACAGCTCGGCGCAGTGCCCGCTGTTTACTGTGTTTAGAACCCTGCGTTCTGTGACGCAGGCACTGAATGTATTGGTGGAACAGCCGGAGGACGACCGTCTAGTTCCTGTCAGTAAAAGAGATTCCGCTTTAACAAGGTTTGATTGTCAGAGATGACAGCCTCGGAGGGTTGTTTTTTGTTGTTGTTTGTTTGTTGTTTAATGCCTGACTCAACAATATTCCAGTTGTCTGTAAATAATCGAATCTGGACCAGACAATCCAGTGATCAACAGCATGAGCATCGATCTACGTAATTGGGAACCGATGACATGTGTCAACCAGGTCAGCGAGCCTGACCACCCGATCCCGTTAGTCGCCTCCAACGATAAGCATGGGTTGCTGAAGACCAAATCTGATCCGGATCTTCACGGGTAGCCTCTTCATGACAGAGTATTAGAGTGCGGAGGAAAACAACTAACACACTATTTAATCAACAATAAAAACACCAATAGCCAATTCAGTGTGATTTATACAACATAACAGGAATCTGTGAATACATTGAAATTAACTAACTGTTGTTGATGCCAATTTTACTCCCTTAATCCGGTCAGTAAAGTTCATCTGTTATGGGATTAACAAACATCGGGGCTGTAGCCAAAGGTCTAGGGGAGATAACAAGTAAAGGTTTCTGAAGACCTAAACCGGTTCTTCGGTACTCATGGGGATGTGTAAATATATTAGTCCGGAAAGCGGGGTTTCCTGTTTGGCAGGGTACCAGTGGTGTTTTCTCCAAGGCCAGATAGTTCTTGACCAGGCGCGTAGCAAGCAAGTTTTTTTTGTGCAAGCCCGATAGGTTGCAAAGCTGTATATTTAGATTGTATTGAAGGCTTGCCCAACTTTCATTTTCAAAATCATGTTTTAAGATGGTAGCTACGGCCTTGTTGACTGAAGTGTGTCGATGAACGTCTGGCTTCGAGACCGGAGTACGGACACCTGTCAACTCAAAACAGTCAGTTCCCTACAATCCACGGCCACACACTTCGAGACACAGACAGACGGACACACATACAAATAGACACTGACATATGGTCGGCAGACACATTGTCCTCCGTCATCTACGCTGACCTTGACCCAATCCAATGATTGGCCAATGGCTGCACTGGTCAGGAAGGTCGTGTAAATGTCAGAAGGTCAGCTGTGGACGTGAAGGTGTTCAATCCTTCACAGTTTCTTCACGTCCGGCATTTCCAGTAGCTTCTGTACCTCTGCCGCCGTTGGTCTCTTGCTGGGGTCAACATGGGTGCACTTTCTCACTACCTCTCGCAACTGGATCAAATACAACAGGAAATATTAATCATTAAGGAACTGATTAAGAAAACAGTAAAAATACAAACAGTGATCACTACGAAATAGTGATGATACTTATTATATATCCTAGGTGTCCGCGAAAAGGTGAGCGTATCGTGTTCCACAGGTGGCACCCGTCATACACATATGCTAAGTCTAGTCATTTGTTCACCGGAAATAATTTGTGAACGTATGGTATAGGTCAAAATAGGGAATTGGATCGGACATCATTTTTGTCACTGATGCATCAAATTTTGAAATG